ATTAGGCTTGTATCTTGGTTGTTTTCCTTGATTGTTGTGAGAGCATCCTTTATTTGTGTTTTTTCCATTTATCTATTGTGATTTCATTATGATTTCTTCGCTGATTTTTGTGCTGAGGCTTATTAGATAATCATGCCGTGGTCGAAAATTCAATCATAACAGGACTTTCATTAGCCTCTAAATAATCATTCTTAGTCATTACATCATTAAATCTCTATAAATCCCGACTATTCTACGTCATTTGGTTTTAGAGGTCTGATACCAAATGAAGGAGAATTATTTTGGTGTCTTGTGGTTATATAGATGGTGGCATGGGTCTGTAGGAGTGTGCGGACTTTTTTAGGGTTGGAAGTGTTGTGTTGTGGTCTACCAAGCCAAGGTCCAGAACAACAATATGAGGGAAGGAGGGTGACTAAGATAAAAGTGAGGGAGAGTGAAGACAATTAATGAAAAGAGTGAATTATGATATTTTGTAGTTCTTTTAATAATTTTTAAAAACTCACAAATGATTGAAGTTCTCATTAAAGAACTTTGAGGGAAGGAAAAACATCTCCAAGCTATTTATAGATTATTTGTAAAAATGAATCAATTTTATTTCTTTTTAGTGATTGCTTTTATGGTCATGTGGTGTGTTTTTATAGAAAATTTCATGACATTATCCTAGAGAGAGAGAGAGAGAGGTGGTCTATAGAAATAAAATACTTTCGGCTTTGGCCATTTTTTCTGTTTGGTAAGAGAGTGATACCATTATTTGTGCACATATTGATGCATAATTAGGTGAGGTCTGACCTTGTTTTAATTAAATTTGATTGAAGTAACACTTGTTTCTGATGAAGGAGGCTGACCATGCAATTAAAATACTGTACCAACATGTTTGCTTGTCATCATATTTATGTTTGAAATTAGGTCTATTGCTGTATTATCTTTACCATACTTTTAGAAACTCTGCCCTTTAAAGTTAAAATTACTTGATTTTAGAAGATTGTGTTAGCTTGCTTGAATTATCATAAATTGAGCAATTTTTTGTTGAAGGAAGCTTGTGGTGTTTTGAATGGAATATGTTTTCTTTAATAGAGTTAGCTTGAATATATATTTCTATTGTTTGCTATTATGGAAGGAGTCACATTAGCAAGTAGTCCATGGATAGCATTGTAAATTTAGGAGTCACATATGATGTTTCTTGATTTTGCAGAAACTATATCATTAGAAATAAGTTTTGGGGTGAGGATGGGTTTAATGGACGGATAACTTTTTACAGTTGAGGGGAATATTGGCAATGTTTTTGAATGGGCATGGGAGTTGGTTCAGATGTGAACTTTTGTGGAGTTGGTGGGGAAGTTTTCTCAACGGATAATGATTTTAGTTTTGTGGGCTGAAAGGATTTTTTGCATAAGGACTACTTTAGGATTTTAAAGAAGTGGAGACGCTAATATATCAACAAAGTGATGAATACTATTTAGAAAGTTTTGCTTCATATCTTTTACATCTTTTAACTTGTTGCGTAAGGTGTCAAAAGTATGATTAAGCTTATTGTTCCAGTCAATGTTTTTGTAAGGATTGTAAGCTGATCTATTGGCACATATTACGTGCCATGATGATCCGCACAGAAGTAATGAAAGACTAACATGGAAGAATTTTAGGTCTTTTGCACTGCTAATAAACCAATATTGATAAACTTATACAATTATTTCTTTATCAACTTTGTCTTTGAAAGGAGTTCATCACAACTTGAAGTTTGTTATTTTATGACATTGCCTTGATGGTTCATTTCCTTGGAAATTGTGTTACACTTCAAATTCTTTAAAATGATGACATGAATCTACTTTAGCTCTATAACTAAATGAAAGAGAATAGTTGTGGTCGTAGCGATTTGGATGATGATATGCGTTTATATGTTTATATGATGTATTTTAGGGTTGGAGAAGTTGTGATGTGGTGCTGACCAAGCTAAGGAAACCAACCAAGAATGAGAACGATAACGGAAGGAAGATGCTTACTAGTAATTTAAAAAAATAATAATGATTTTTTTTTAAGTAATCACTAAAGCAATTTCATGGAATTACAAGGATAATTGAAGCTTTTAATATAAAACTTCAAAGGAAGAAGAAAGTCACCAAAATGTCATCGAGTTAATAATAAAAGTAAAAAACATACATTTCTCTTAAATGATTACTTTCATGGTTACATTACACTCGTTATGTAGAAAATAATATGGAATAACCCTAGTCCTAATCAAGCATGACTAGATTATGCATTAATGTAATGTTTTTAAGCATTCAATTATAATATTACCCGTGGTGATTGACTATGATATAATAGGAAGTGTGTGGTTTTAAAAATAAGAACTAGATGAATTCCAAGTGCTTTTGGGGTTTGATTATTTTTTATTTGGTAAACTAATGACATTATTATTTGAGTACATATTGATTCATAATGAGTGGATGACTGGCCACATGGCTGAATGGACTCTGCTTTCTTTAACAGAGTTAGCTTGAATTTATTTTTCTATTGTTTACCTTTATGGACGGAATCACATTAGCAAGAAGTCCATGGATAGTATTTGTAAATTTTGGAGGTGCATATGATGTTTTTGATTTTTCAGAAACTATCTTATTAGACATAAGTTTTGGGGTGAGGGTGGGTTTAATAGGCGGATAACTTTTAACAGTTAAGGGGAATATTGACAATGGTTTTGAATGGGCATGGGAGTTGGTTCAGATTTGAACTTTTGTGGAGTTCGTGGGGAAGTTTTCTCAAGGGACATGATTTTAGTTTTGTGGGCTAAAATTATTTTTTGCATAAGGACTACTTCAAGATTTTAATGAAGTGGAGCTGCTAATATATCAACAAAGTGATGAATACTAATTAGAAAGTCATGCATTATCTCTTCCATGTCTTTTATATGTGTAAGGTGTCAAAAGTGTGATTGAGCTTATTTTTCCAGACAATGCCTCTGTTATGGTTTGTAAGCTAATCCATTGACATATATTGGGGTGCCATGATGAGCCGCACAAAAGTAATGAAAGACTAACATGGAAGAATTTTAGTTATGTAATTACTTAAAAAAGTTTCAGACCTTAAGCCGTAACTCATTTATTTCCTTGCTGCCTAGTCTTCTGCTATCGAAATAGAGTTTTAAGCTCTCAATCAAGCGTCTCCCGCACGCTTGTTGCTTTAACCTGCTCACAGACTCTTGGAATAAAATGCCTATGCTCAAAGTGAAAACCCACTTGAGCTGCTCCTTCTGCAAAAAACTAGTTGAAGCATCTCTAGAGCTGAGGGAGCTTTGCGTGAATGGGGAAAACCGCTCAGCTCCTCACTTCTTTCTCTTTAAATTAGGTCACTTCCACTCACCTTCGGTCTTCCCTTTCCTCGCATAAACACTGCTACAAGAGTGTTAATGACGAGAGGGGAAGTTTTGCTCGAGCTGCTCGAGCTCGTTAGATCTCAAGAATGAAAGAAAATAACGCACACAAGCCGCTTGTCTCCTCTTTTCTTTCTCTTGCTTCTTTCTCTTTTTCTCTGGCTTCTTTTTCTTGTTCTTGGGCACGACTTCTTCCTCTTTTCATTCGCTGTATCACGTGTGCTTTCTTGTTTGTTTCATTCGAATGAGGGGACGGGAGGATTAATCTTTCGTAGGCTTTCCAATTAGTGGTAGGGAAACAATCGAACAATGTTATGAACACAGAGTTTCAATTCATTTTATCTTATTTTTTTAAGTTAATTAAAATTTTAAAAGTGTAATATTACATGATAGGCATAATTTCAATGAGAAAACCAACAAGCACTCAGAGAATGGCATAATCTCCTAATTTTTTTAAATTTATCAGCAAATCTTATCGAATTGTGAATCGTGAACATGAACTAATCTATAGATGATATCGAGGAAAGGGACAAGTTAAGGGATAAGTTAATGTTTGATGAAAAGCATTAACAACGGATTATCACAGACATATTTGAGAGAATTTAATGACAAACATACGTACTCCGCATATGCAATATCTTGAACTCATGACCACTTTTTTTGGGAGGCCGAAGCTCTCTCAACCAATAGGCTAATGCGGATTGCATAGGGTCATTATAAGGAGCATCATCATGCATGCTTAAAAATCACCTTGCTTTTTTATTCCAAGAAAATAAAAATAAAATTTGTGTGTTTTTTGCACCATATGCATGTTACATGTTATGAGCAAAATTGTGCTCCATCATGCACGACTGTGTTACGGTTATGCATTGTGTTGTGATTTATATTATTTTGCTCTTTTTACAAATATTAATTGAATCCTTTGCATTTGTGAAGGTTTTATTGTTCTATTCCAGGACTGGCAAATTTGTTCTTTGATAAACATACAGTTGAAAGAGAAGAAAAGCTTTGGAAAAGCATTAGCGAACTAATTGCGAGTACTGTGACGATTATTCATATAATTTAGGTGATAATTTTATAAATTGTCAGAAGGGGGTGATATCCCTCTTTATATGGTGGTCCAATCTTGGATTTTAGGACTCTGCAGCCTGCACATCTATGATGACCTGGAAAGATTAAAATTTTTTGATTGTCAGGTGGTAAATCATAGGATCGTATTTACTATAATTTCTGCTAACTTTTTTGCGAAATTCAGAGCATGGAAACATGATATATTTTACTCTTTATATTGACTCATTTGAAGCATCATTCCGGCTTCATCACAGTGTAGTCGGTCCTCAAGAGTGCCAATTGATATATAAATTGTTATTTTTATTTATATATTGATTCATACATCAAAATTTTCTATTTTAAAAGTTTAGATGGTGTTAGCTTGGTTGGAGTCATTTAATCTGTCTACTTGTTCGTATATGAAATTTACTTTGAGGGACATTTGGTGGAACAATATAGCATTAATCATATTGAATCATGTTTACCATTTTAACTGCAGCGTATGCTCAATCATAGTCATCTTCTTCATGGAAAATATGCGTCAAGTGCCTATCATGATTTATGCTTTAATGCATTTTTTGCACAGGTGACTTGCCAGCTACTTGGTGTCATTTTGGAAGAAAAAAATCCTGAAGAGCTTCAAGTAAATAGCAGAAACTTAGGGCTCCCTTGAGTTCTAGATACATATCTGTTTTCAAGTTCAAAACCTTTACTTGCAGAAACAAGCTACGGTGAGGCCTTCTGTGGTCGAAGTGCTTCGAGAAATCGCCAAATGTTGTGATTTTTATCTAATGGAGAGAGTACTTGATGATGAGTCTGAGGTGAGCGTAGTGAAGTAATAATTGTGCTTTCTGCTGATATTTACTTGCATTGTTGTTAACAATATGATTATGCTATATTATTTACTTGCATTGTTGTTAACAATATGATTATGCTGCATGATGGGGTCTTTTCATCTAAAATTCCATGCAGAAGCAATTATTCAATTGTAATCACTTCGTATCCTATCAACTTATATGCTACACAATATATGATAAAATTCTTCACATAACTATTTCAGATAAATTTTATGAATTCTCCTCTGTATTTTGGTTGAGTGTAATAAAATGTTTTTGACTTAGTGCACTTACGTCTTTTATCTTGATTTTTATTCCACATCTTCGGTGTATCATTCTCTAATGCAACAAAATTGGTGTGATGCATATAAATCAGCATGGGAATTTAGGATTCACAGATCACGTTCTGCAAAATGTGATAAGTTTCTTTAAATATACAATAGTTGATTTGAGAATTATACTCCACATGATAACATAATGATATAATAAATTTAAAGAAATTAGTAAGAAATTTGAACAACATAAAATTAAGCTTGAATTGTAATTTAATCACCATAAATAGATTCCTAGTTTCTAAAATTTGAACAAACTTAACGGCACAAACTAGCAATAATTAGAAGAGCTTTAGTAAAGAGAAGAAGATATTAAAGTAAAAATTGTAAGTTTCATATTCGTTCTAGCAGATAAATCCCCCCTATATTTTTAGAGTTACACTGGTACGACAGTAAGTGGATCACATATTCAACTTTCATGCTTGAGATTAAAACTGAAAGAAATTTTTATTCAACCAAGGATAATTTTTTGCAAGCCTTCGAACATCTATTTATACTCTTTTTTTGTTTAGTGAATCTAATTAGCTTCAACCCAATGCACCAACCTTATCCAAAAATAATAAAATTAAAACACCCCCAAATATATATATTTTTTAAACCAACTTTAGCCACACAACGGTAAGGTTTGTGAATTGCAAAGTAGCCAGAGAAGCAATCAGCATGAATTTTGTAACCTGTAACTCTACCTATCGAATACCTATTACAGTCCCAGAAAGAACACCAACAAAGCTACAATTTTAGAAGCAAGAGAAGTTTGATCAACTTGTTTGGCTTGAAAAAGTGTCAGCTTTGATAAATAATGCTTTTGATGCCACCATAATGACAACCAAGTAAGAACTATAGGTAGCAGTTTTATTGAACTTGATGGTAGCTAAGAATCAAATCTGATATCATACCAAATCATACAAACGAACTTAGAATTAGAAAACAAATACTCCGTTTCTCAAGGTCATCATGATCGGTTGCCTCAAATTACTTGAAATTTCTTAACTCATTATTTGATGTGGTGCTTCCAACAAGAATAATGACAATTTTTTATCAAATTTGACCGACTTGGACAAATTTGGCTTTGCAATTGGCATTTGATATTTGTCAAAAACATTTGAACATAGATTTTACATGTCTTGTAATTTAATTCACAAAGTCATAAAAAATAGGTTTCTCTTGCTAGTGGAAAAGATTTACCTTTAGAATCCTTCATCAACATCGTACAAATTTTTATCATCCTCAATTACCTGAAGAACAAGTTGAATTGAATTATGTGCAGAGGATTACATGAGTTTTACGAAGAAGAGGTGGAAAAAGAAGACTCCGAGGAATAGATAGCAGGATCTTGAAATATGGTCAATTTAGACCCATTGGAATCTATTAATATCATAGTATTTTGAATTTTCAATTTTTTGGGATAAGTTCCAGTTCATTGCAGAATTTTAATTGATTGTACTTTCATCACATTTAATTTCTTAAAAGTTTCCGTGGGAGATTTTTTGAATTTAAACACATCATACCTCTATCACCATATTTAAACTCCGCATATCATTTATTCATATCAGCAACTTATAATTGTCATAGTTTATAGCCATTTTTTGAGAATAAATTTTTTTTTGTAATTCTGACAAATCATGTAATTTATGTAAATGCTATCAATGCTAATATGCTTTTTAAGAGATATTCATGATGACTTATCACTAAATCCTAGAAATTGAAATGCTAATAAAATTGTAAGTAGGCAAACTATGCAGTTATGATATCCATGTATAGGCGAAGAACCCTTTTAAGGTAGAATTAATGAATTTAGTTTAAATATAAATGATGATGAATTATACACTTTTAAAATTGACTCAGTGGATAGGGTCTTAAATTTCAGGTGTTTTAAAATTATTTACCATTAACAAATTCTCTAACAAATTGACGCCTCTTAGCTTTTGTTACGAGGCTAATTTATTTAATTCATTTGACACTAAATGACAACATTAATAGCAATCTGGTTATTCAATCATAGCAAAAAAATTAGAAGATAATTCATTAATAAATGTTTTTTGGATCATTCTTTGTTCATTTTTACATTTGAAATATAATTAATATCTATTGTTAGTTAAGATTTATATATATATATATATATGTTCATTAACACTGCCATTATCGGTCCTATGCCCGAATGTGAAAAGTGGAGGGTTGCGTTAGATAGTTGATAGCCAGCGTAAAACTTATAAAAGAAAATCATGACATGAATTCTTTTGATTTTTGTGTAAGTGTTAGGGCGTCCCCTAGAAGCGACGCGCTGCATAGCCTGAATATAGTAAAAAGTGTGCAAGGGCTGTTACACCGACGCCTGGGTGTAGTGTCAAATAAGCAAGGACTCCCATATTACCGACGGATGCGAATAAAGAAGTTAGTCCATAAAACAAATGAAATTAATATTATGATAGGATCTTGGAATATAGGCACTCTCAATGGTAAATTAATAGAATTAGTTGACATTATGATTTATAGAAAGATTAATATCTTATGTTTTCAAGAAATTAAATGGGTTGAAGAAAAGGCTAAGGAGATTGATAACTTAGGTTTTAAACTTTGGTATTCTAATAAGAGTCACACTAGAAATGTAAGTGTAATTATAGATAAGAGTTTGAAAGATAATGTTGTAAAAATTAATAGAGTTGGAGATAGAGTTATAGCCTTTAAGATTATCATTGATACAAAAATTTTTAATATTATAAGTGCTTATGCTCCTCAAGTAGGTTTAGATATAATGTTTAAAGATAAATTCTGGAATGACTTAGAAGACTTAATACAAACGACATCTCTTGAAGAAAGAATTTTTATTGGAGGAGATTAGGAGATTTAAATGGACAAAATGGACATGTCAATAGAGTGGTAGAATATTTTAGAAATATTTATGGTGGCTATGATTTTGGAATGACTAATGAAGAAAGTAAAACTATTTTAGATTTTACTTTAGCATATGATTTTGTTATTACTAATACTTTATTTAAGAAAAGAGATGAAAATCTTATTAATTATAAGAATGGTTTCAATAAAACACAAATTGATTATTTTCTTATGAGAAGAAGATATATTCGAGATTGTAAAGATTATGAGGATTTAAGTACCCAACATCGTTTATTAGTTCTAGATTTTAAGATGAAGAGTTGTAAAAGAAATAATACTAGGACTCATAATCATAGAATTAGATGGGGGAATTTAAAAGACAAATAAAATTATTTCTATGAGTAAAATTCAAGATTTCAAAATTTGGAATGTTTATGATGGAACAAATTCTATGTGGGATAGTGCAACAAACACTATTAAACAAGTAGTAAAATATGTAATTGGAGAATATAGAAGCATGAAAATCTGATTAAGGAACATAGTTAGAAAAGGTCTTTGTAATTGGTATATGAAACTTCCAACTATGGAATCTGCAACACAAAAGCAGAATTGAAAATTATTTATTAATTGAACCCAAGAATGTTTATAGATTTTCGCAGAGAGTCTAAAAGAATAATATGAGATGCTAAAAATTCTGCTTTTATTGATCTTTATAATGTATTAGATACTAAGGAGAATGAAAAATATATGTATAAACTAGCTAAATAAAGAGAAAGAAAAGTAAATATTTAATTCAAGTAAAGTGTATTAAAGAAGAAAATCAAAAAGTGCTTTTCTTAGAAAAAAATATTCAACATAGGTGGATGAGTTAATTTGATAAACTTTTTAATGAAGTTTCTGAAAATACGATCGACCTTAGTGATCTTAATATCGTTAATAATAATAAAACGTTTCATTTTTAACGTCGTATTAGTAAAGAAAAAGTTGAAGATGCTTTAAAGAAAATCAAGGGTGGAAAGTTTGTAGGACTTGATGATATCCCAATTGTAGTATGAAAATGCTTAAGAGATTTGGTAGTTTTTTTGCTTACTAAACTCTTTAATATTATTTAAAAACTAAAAAGATGGCTGAGGAGTGGATTAAGAGTATTTTGGTCCCCATTTTAAGAATAAAGAGGATGCGCAAGAGTGTGCAAATTAGAGATGAATTAAGTTGATGTGTCATACTTTAAAGTTATGGGAGAGGGTAATTGAACATGGGTTAAGACGTATTTAAAAGATTTCTCATAATCAATTTGGATTTATGTCGGGCAGGTATACTATGGAAGCTATACATTTATTCAGAAGTTTGGGGGAGAAGTTCATAGATGAGATAATAAGGAGAATCTACATTTAATTTTTATTGATTTAGAAAAAGCTTACGATAAGGTTCCAAGAGATATCCTTTGGAGAGTTCTTGAGAAGAAAGGTGTTGATATGACTTATATTCAAGTCATTAAAGATATGTATACTAGAGCTGTTACTTGTGTTCAAACTGAAGAAGGATTGATCAAATATTTTCCTATTTATGTTGGATTACATCAAGGATCGGCTTTAAGTTTTTGCTTTAGTTATGGATGGTGTTTGCTTTAGTTATGGATGGTGTTACTGGACATTTACAAGAGGATGTACCTTGGTGTATGCTTTTTGCTGATGATTCTTCTCGTGGATAAGACGAGAGAAAAAAACCATGAAAAACTTGATTAATGGAGGGCTGCATTAGAGTCTAAAGGCCGTCATTTGTGTAGAAACTTAAACTGAATACATGGAATGTAATTTTAGT